AAGCATGATGACCAGCTTGGATTAAACGTCTCCAAATTCTGGAGAATTTCTTTTTTGCTTTAATCAAATGAGCCACTTGTGTGTGACGTGGAGGGGAAATTAGAATAAGTGTAAATGAACAAAGCAATGGTCCTGCTGTCAACTCCTGATGGTTGCGACAAATGGATAAAAGCAGAGAATGTTATTTAATCAGAGGGGGAAGATTCAGCAACTTGTGAGGCCATGATGGTCCAACCGTCTCCTGACACATACACAAACACACAAGCCGCCCGGTTGTACATATGGCAACAATAAAGCTGTCAGGGGCCATTAAGACGCGGAGACACTCAACCCATCATACAGCCGAGTACTTCCACTTTCTAAACACACACACATAAGCTGTATATGTAAGTTAGCTGCACTCTTAACTCAAACACAGACACACTGGGGCAGAGCACGCCAAGCCAGACATGTACACAAAGACACCAAAGGGCCGGGTGTCTGGCCGAGTAGCAGAAACAGACGGACATGAGATGAGTTACAGAGCTATGAGAATGCGTATATAAAATTCAGTTTGTACTTCAAATATATAGCCTGTTTTCTAGATGTACTTGCTGGACGTTTACTAGGCAGGGGGGCTCAAAAATGGCACGATTAAGTTGAATTAAGTAAGAAAAAGAAATCTCCAGAAATAAAACACTAAGCTAGAGCAGCTCTAACCTTTCTATAGGTCATAGGGACCATTTAAAAGTGTGTATATCGTACCATATGTATATTTATGACCTCAAAATATCAAAGATTTCCTGAGTCTAGACTCCCAAAAGTGGAAACTGGTGGTTTTCTTGCTGTTACATAGAACATTTTGAACTGTTAGTCGCACAAAGCGAAATACTTTCAGTTTATATTCGACTCAGGTGTATTGTGATGAACATTTTTAACTGTCACTATTAATTACAAAACAATCAGCATGTTAACATTAGGCAAAAGTCCTAATCAATCAAACTAATATAAAACAAAATCTATTGTCGTGTTATTTTTCCAACACAACATTTTCCACAGCCCTGCCACATTGCATCCATCTCCCCTGGGTAATGTGGCCCAGTACAATTTAACTGCTCCACACCCTGTAGTGAAGGCTAATTGCTCTTGGCTAATTGTTTTCAATGAGCCAAGAGGAGTGTGCGCTGATTTCCACCAGGGGGTCCAGGAAGCACTCAGTCTGTCAAACTGCTTGTTAGACTTGGGCTGCATATCAGGCAGAGAGTAAAGCCAGGGAGGAAACTGAGTCCACCACATAGAGACAAAGGTAGCCGTACCTGTTACACTCACATATTGTTAGAGCCATATCTGCTATTGAATCTTAGGAAACTCCCTTTCCAGTCCCCTGACACTGCAGCTGCGTCGAATGTTCCCAGGTATTTTTTTCCGTGAGCTGAAAACTCGACAGCCATGTTTGTGTTACAGTCACAATTCAGCGACGTGTGACTCAGCTGGAATGAGTGTTACTGTCCGTCTGTTTTACTTGCTGACTTGGTTGTTCTGCTGCGCTGCAGATCGTGTTTACTGGAAAGTTAGAGGAAAAAAATTCCAGGAACACCAGTGGCACGGGGGAGAAGTGTGCTTATGCATCAAGCAATTGTCTTTCTATAATTAACACATAGAGTCAAAGTAGAAAGAAACATCTTCAAAAATATATAGATTGTCCAGACAGCAATTATTCAGTTGTTTGTTTGTTTGTTTGTTTGTTTTTTTTTTGGGGGGGGTTGTTTTGTTTGTTTTTGTCCAGGCAGAGCTCATGTTTGTTTACGTGAGTGCGTGCAACTGAGTAGACACGTGTGGCGAGTGGAAAAACACACCTCAGTGCCACATGAAGCGGGCAACAGGAGGTGTGAACCGAACACAGACTCACACATGGTCCGGCGTACATTCACTGACAAGCTGCTGTCATCTGACTCAGACACACAACTGTTTACAATTTACTGCAACGCCAATGGAAAAACTGACAAACACATGTACTAACGAGGACATTCCTCCTACAGTGCTGGGGGAAAAAGCAGTGCAGTTACAGCATGCAGCCAACCAAAGTGAAGTATCTCGGTTGAAAATCATGGTTTACTGCAGTGAAAGTATGCAAAACCAAAAAGGCAAAGGGCTGGGTTGTACCACTTATCTCAGTGGAATTGTTAATTGCTGGGAGCCCAGGGTGCCAGCATAAAAAGCACACTTCCTGAGTGTTATATGTTTTGCTCTGGATGAAAGCAGGCACCTCTGGGCCCCGGGGCTACAGGGGGACAGACAAACCTGTTGATGCAGAGCAGACTGTCCGATTTTATTACTGCAAACAACACAGAAGAGCACATCTCTTTCTCGTTCCAGGGCTTTCTTTGGAAACATCTTTATTCCCTTGACAGCAAATGAACCCATCAATGCAAATCAGTTCCCAGTTTGCATGTAACAAGATAAAATTACTCTTTCGGTTGGTCAGGCGGGCCACATTACACAGTAATGCACGTTCGGTGCATTGACATGCTGTCAGCACACTCTACTCATCATTAAGCATGAGAATCCGTTGATACATTGCTTGATTGATGACAAGGTATTACTGCCCGCCTCAAGCAGGGTCCATTGATTTTAGGTGTTGATTTAGGGACATAGCCATAGCTGCCCGCAAGTAGCAGAACCAGCAGAGTGGCTCACTATTTAACAGGTAGTTTTACTATCACGGTATTTGGACACAACCGACACAGATACAGAACACTGAGATGCGACGAGGCAAAAGCCTAATGCCATCCATTACTGCAACATTTAACAAAGGCCAAAGTTATCTGGACAGAGCGAAAACCACACTTACATGTAAACAATGTTTTGCAGAATGTGTGTTTTTTGTCGAATGTGTGTCCTGTTAATGTAAATCAAGTGTCATGGCGCTGTGGAAAAGAACTTATTAGTTGTTTCATCTATACAATGTCACAACATTGTGGAAAAAGAAAGAAAGAAAGAAAGAAAGAAAGAAAGAAAGAAAGAAAGAAAGAAAGAAAGAAAGAAAAATTACGTGTTTCCCAGAATGGCATCCTTCAATGCCTTCAATCAGTTTACAGCCATAGAGAAGAAAACAAAAGAGTAAAATTTGAGAGGGTAGAAACAGAAAAAGTTGACTTTTTTCCCTTAAAAAAATACTGAAAACGATTTTTAAAATAGTAAACAATTATTTTAATAGTAAGTGCAGTCCTACATCCTAAACCTTAACTTTCACCTAACAATTAGTCACTTTTGGACTCTAATGAGGATTACTGAGTACACAACAAACTTGTTTAGCTGTCAACTTGGTTAGCCCTTTGCTAACACCCAAGTGTAAACAAGAGGCGTGTGTGTGTGTGTGTGTGTGTGTGTGTGTGCGTGTGTGTGTGTGTGTGTGTGTGTGTGTGTGTGTAAGTGGATGAGAAACAACCAGAAACAGAGAAGTGTGGACAGACAGAGGGAGAAGGTATGAGGAAGTCAAGTGCATGCTATACGCTGCTGATTAGTTCCATAAAGTCAAGCATGGGTTGAGGACCACTTCACGACCTCACGGTTTACCGCACTTCTATTGTTTTTGGCCTCTTAGGACCACTTAAGGTGAGCTGTTATCAAGGTACACAACCGGGAAACACTGTGAGACCATTTTCTCTATACAGAGACAACACAACATCACTTATGAAGGACGTCGTTATGCTTTCCGTTTTAATATTATGTCACCAAAGTGTGAAGTGGCCCAAAAAAAACGGACGTCTTTAAAGTATCCGTCAACCCAAACAAGGTAGTTTAATTGCAGTCACCTCACTTCACCAAACGACTTTTGGAAGCAACTTTAAATGACTAAGGAGGACGTTGCAGTACAGGTGAGCCCTTTATCATGTGTCTTACCTTTAACTTCTCCCTCCCGGTGAGTTTCAGCTGGTGGACGAAGGGGTTTTTACCAAATCTCGACGAGCGACTGTTGGTCGTCTTCATTGCTGACAAGTTGACAGTCAAACAACTGGAGAGAAGCGGTGTTTAAAACAGTCCTGTGCCGCTGTCTGTGTTGTTTCACGCCGTGCAGAAACGCCCCTCCTCTGGCTCCAGCACACTGATGCTGTCCAGGCGGGACTGGAGGAGGATGGCTCCTCACAGCGAACCAGCAGCGCCGCGCACCCACGTGGCCAGCTGCTCGTCAGATTCAAAATAAAACCAACGTATGTGACATTTATGTAAAACGACCCAGTTTTAATGTTGTCACAGTGAAAAATAAGTTGCCTTAAACAAATGCACAATCCACTACATATTACGTGTTTACATTTGCCCTATTTCAACCCATGTCAAACTCGTAAAAACACTAAACCCGCCACATACTTTAAGCAGCCCTCTGCTCAAGCTTTTATTTTGAAAGTGATGACAAACTCTATAGAGATCGATCCCAGACAAACAAAAAGACAAACTGGTAATTTTGTGACCAAGCCACCTTATAAATGATCTCATAAATGACTGATTACCAATATGTAACAACAGCTCTGCTCTCGGTGCAGCTAATTGATGATATATTGATGCGTATTTTATATTAAATCCATTTATTATTCATAGGAACATGTAATATTGTAATGAATCATAGGCTGATAAGGGGAGGG